AGAACAGTACGCAGAAAAATCGTGTCACACATATGAATATAAATATAGATATAAATATAAATGTATTGCACAGGTCCCTGGCATATATTGCACTAAAAACGGCTGTAAACGAGAAAAGAAAAGATAGAAAACAGATGTAGCAGTAGATGTGTAGATGCGTTCAGTCCAGAAACAGGTCACTGTCAATGTTGTCTCTGCCCGGACGCAAGGTTGATGAGTTGTACAAGCATATATGCATAGCGTTAACATATCTGGCATACTAGGCCATGCAGTATAAGAACATACTGAGAAAAAATTAGACAAATTACAAATGAGAGGCAGTAGTAAACAGATCCAGGGATCTGACTTTCAGCATCATGGCTTGTTCCATACTCTCGCAATCCTGTAGGTAAAGAAGTGCCTCATGGTCTCAGTTTCAGATGCACTTCTGTGTAGTTTCCACCTGTACCCCTGGTTTGCATTTGTGAGTATTTTAAATGCACCTGGTCCCCTCAGTCTTCTCTCTTCTGGACTAAAAAAGGTTCAGTTCCTTAGGCCTGTCAGTGCAGAATATTCCCTTAAGCCCTGAATTGTATCTGGATGGATCCCAGAGCAGTCAGTATCTTTTCTCTAAAATTGCATTTAGTATTCTAAATGAGTTCTTTAGTGTATTATTAGATTTTAACATCATCCTTTGATATACATGTGAATCTTTTAATTTACATCTTTTTTTAATTCATTCCCACACTGGTGTAAATTATGTTTCAGTATAAACAACTAAGTCTCTTTCATAAGGAAATCACAGTTCTGTCATGGTTCTCTCACCTCTGTTTGCTTAATTTTGTCTTGATTGTCTTGAAAGACCTGTATATACAAGAGGAAATGATCCTTATGACCATTTCCTGTTGTAGGTGCTCTGAAAAACTGGTTAAAAATAGTGTTCAATACTATGGAACCCCTTCTTGTAAAACATCTTAAATTTGCACAACAAATGAGTTGATGACACCTTTATGTTCAAGAAATCCCATTCTGGGAGTGAGCCATTCCTTGTAATATTTGTCTCCAAGTACAGTTCTTCCTTTTGCAGTACTGGAAGTAACTGGCTTTCAGCTGTGATGAGGTTTTATAGTGACTGTCTGTCCTTTTCTGACAAGTGTACACTTACAGCGTTGCTTGTGGTGCTGCCGCCACTCCCTTGAATTCCAACATCTCTCCCACAGACGGGCTAACCTGCACTCGCACACAAAGGCGATTATGGCTCACCCTTGGGCGTGGCACTGGAGCTCCAAATAGTTTAGCAAGCTTACAGGAAGAGCCCTCAGACTTTCTATTGGGATAAATGGACATGTGAAATTTTGGACCTAGTGAAAAAGCGTTGAATCTAGTGCAAATTTATGATATTGTGTAAGTGTGTAGAGCAGAGTTAGAAAACAAGGTGATATGTTGCTCTTTCTCCAGGTGGTAAGCATTGGCTTATTCGTTTATTTTAGGAAATGGCAGGTTCTTGGTTTTGCTGAGCTACCAAGGTGACCATTGCCCTGCATTTGTGTTTGTTTTTGAAAGTCTGATGTCGTTATTCTTTCCTGTAGCTATAGGAAATGGAAATGGTAAAAATGCTATGCCATCAGATATTTCTACATCAAGTGCCACCTTAGAGAGCATGATGACCTGTGCTACATACCTGCTGTGAGAACTAAATGACGTAGAATGTCGGGGTACTGTCTCTTTCCTCAAACATTTCAAACTCGTTTGATTTTTCTGGACTCTAGCCTACACACGACACACTTGTCGAGCTTCGTGTGACTGTACTCAAATCGGCGTTAGTTTGATGAGCTGATTCAGAAAAACATTAACTAAATGTGCGTCTTGAATCTTGCTGGTGGATGCAAAAAAAATATTCCTGACCATGACTTGGAATGTTTCTGTGCTGTTTGGATTGTAGGCTCAGTTTTGACCTTCTTTGCCAACAAGCACAGATATTAAATGGATATTGCACATCAGATGAAATATAACTTAAAGGCGTAATAAATGATTAAAGTTATGATCAGAATGTTGTAAATCTTTTGAAGCAGGTGCGCCAACATTTTATTGACGTGACTTGGGCAAGTTCATTGTGCCGGTAAAGATTTCTCATCTACAGGTTTGTTCAACAGGAAAGTCTCAGGCTAGTCGTTTGTGCAGTTACTGCTGGAAGCTACAAGCTGCACATCTTCAACCCATGCTTTGTACTAGCTTGGAAATGCTCTGTTGTGGGATTCTGTCCCATTCATGTTACATAGCTTGGACAAGCATGTGCCTCTTCAGTAGTTTCTGAGCCCTGTCACACATCATTTTAATGCATCTAGCAAACATGCAGTTGGGCTCAGGCCTGGTGAGTGGAGTCGTGATGTCAAGAACGAGAAGGGGCAGAGAGGGATAAGGGAGAAAACATTTCTGGGCCTAGTTACCGTTGGTAACTCCTCATTCATCATCCTGGGTGATCGTCACCCCAAATCTGACCGAATGGCATTTTTCTGATGTTGGTAATCAGTTTCCCGAAAAAGAGAGATTTATTGCAAAAACAATTTAAAAATCGCATTAAAATGACCAGTTAATCCAAATATATAGCTAAAGCATTTGATCATTATTAAAAAAACAATTCTTTATAAAGACAGGTGTGTTGATAAGTCTATATATTAAATAGTTTCACAAAAAATATTCATTGGGTACTGTACTTAAAAGTATAAAATTGATTAAACGTTCTGGAAGGTGGAGGAGATCAACATACAAAGAGCAGAATGGGCAGGGAATGAGTATCCAGCTTTCACCGATGTGTTTCATAGATGTGTTTTTGTTAATGGCAAAAGAATCTTCCTCTTCCGTCTTGATGATGTTTCCTTTTCGGGGATAACCGAGGAGGCGCTAGCATTTATTTTTCCTCCATCGAGTCCGCGAAAGCGCTTGAAATGGGTCAAGTGGGAAAAGTGCTCTTTACAGTTTGTTCCTCCCGTAACGCGGCCGAGATGGGGTGCCAGCTACCCTTTCAGCGGGGCCTGATAATTGGAGTATGTTGCTGCTTTTGTTTGTCCAGCCGTATCCGGTTACTCAATGGAGGGGAGCGCTTCAATAATAGATACCGTAGACAATGGAGCAGGCACATGCAAACTACCTGCCCCCCTCTCCCCCTGTCGCCTTCATCCTCCCACTTGCCCATTCCCAGCCAGTGAGTGAGGGCGCCTGCCCACAGGACAGCTGTTCCTCTTGTAAACCAGAGAGCCTGTGTTTCTAGGGAGATTGCTAATCAACCTGTTGAAGCTCTCTCTCTCTCTTGCCCTTTTTTTTTTCATGACGCCGGTCTCCTTTCAGGCAAGGATATTGGGTTGCATGTTCCAATGACAGGTTGGTTGCCTGAGGTTAATTTGTTTATGCACAACAGATTCCATATCCCCTGCCCCCTCCCTTTTCTCTCTCTCACTTCCACGTACAGCATGCACTGCTATAGAAAGGCTCAGCCTCTTATGAGTGTCTCCCTCCCTCCCCCTCCCTTGTTATCTTGTCTCCCTCTGCCTGTGGCTCTCTCTCCTTCACTGTCGCACTCACTCTCTCAGGCTCTGTCTCTCTTACTCCCCTCCTGCTCTGAATGCCCTTCTTTTTTTTTTTCTTTTCCTTTTGCGCCGCATGCTCATATTGTGCTCCGGACCGCTTCACTCCTTGTTCCTTCTCTGTGTTGCTTCTCTCTCTCTCTCATACAAGTCATCATGTCCCAAAAAGAAGACTAAGCAGCTGATGTGCGCCAGGTACAGTACTAACCACCGGGCTGATGGACTCTGGTTTTGTATGCTTGAATGGTTGATTAGAAAACAGTAGAAAACTGTCTAGTTCTTTATTTGGATCCTTTGGAATTATGTAGTTCTCTTAAAATAAAACAAGGATATGATTTGTCTCACTCAGTACCAATCACAAATTAAGTTGCTACACCTTTAATAAACAGTAGAAGTGTGCTGCACTGCCTAGGGAATTGATTAGTGGATCAGTGCCATCTACAGTACTATTGATATATATTTTTTTGTTTTCTACCTCTAAAGATTTTACTGTAGAAGGAAACTGAATTTTACATTAAAGGCCTGTGCTGATTTTGTTTGAGCTAGGCTATTTAATTCAGATATTGAAGCTGTAATGCATTTAAATGTTTTTTTTTTCTGTACCAATTTTAATATGTTCGCATACATGTCCAAGTGTGCTTTAAAAAACTGGGTTTATATTAGTGTAAAAATGCCTCTCTAAATGATGAGTAAAGTAGTGCACATTTTTAATTCCAGGTTCATTATTATTTTTGTCTTAAGTAAAATTCAAAGAAAAGTTGAGCAATATTTTTAGGGATTCACTTGAATTTGAAGATGTGTATATATATGAAGTGAGTTCTAGTCTATATGTTGTCATACTGTATATTGTGCCTTTGCCTGTTTTTCATCTCTAAAAAACCTGTGAAGAGAGTGATGGATACAGTACTCTGGTAAAAGGAATTTTACCTTATTTTGTTTATGATAAGGAGGGATGTGTTGTAAGCTGACTACGGTATGCACAGTGTTATCATTTTGTCGAGCTGTTAGAATGAGCCTTTGTTTCAGTTGCTATATAATCATCTTGACTGCATGTTAGTTGCTATTTGTACAGTATGTTTGATTTATTTGCCAGGTTGTTAAATCTTTCTCAGGTTTAATTAGCTCCACTTCAGTTCTGTTCTGTCCATTATTAGATGGTTACCTGTAGCCTAACAAAGAACATCCAAACTCTGTACAGAAGCCACACCAGTCCACAGTCAAACCCAAGGCCAGTTCTAACAACACTACAGAAGGCAGAATGGAGGCCTGGCTGTTTTCATGTAAAAGAGTGATTTAATTTAATACACCTGAAAGCTCCAGTGTTTTCTTCTGCTTTCAGCAATATAAAAACTTTTTAGATCTTTTATTTAACCAAATATGCCACATTTCAGATATATATTTTCATTTGCAATGGGGAGAGTACCCTTTTATACAACAGGATATCTGCTGAATGGTATTTTGAGTATGTGTCAGTTTCTCTCACCCAGGCCTTGAACCCATGACCCTGTAGTCCAGAGAGAATCAGTGTGTGCACCAGAGTGTTTTAGTTTTCACCAGAATCAAAACTCAATGCACTGTTGCATATGGCATTACTGTAGGAAAGTTACTGCAAAAGAAAAAGTTTAAAATGGTGTTTCCCAATACAGGTTTTTTTTGTTTAGCATGACTTGTGAAATTTGTATTATGCTTGACGTAAATTAGTATTGTTGTCAGCTAACTAAGCCACTTTTCTGCCGCCAGTCCCTTCTTTTCTTTTACCAAATAATGTTTTTCCTCTTTTTGCAAGTATGTGCCCTTTAACTGATCTAATGCCTGGCTTTTTTTGTCCTTGTTTTATATGATAGCATTGCGAAGTTTAATCAGTCTCTTCGTCATCCAGGCTTTGCCTTCTAACTTATTTGCTGTGGAGCCTGATAAGGATATATTGTCATATACTGACATTTGTGAAATGCCCTTTCTTTAAATACTGCTTGCGAAAATGGACCGAAATCTGATTCTGAAGGTGGGATGACTAGCATACATAATGTATGTCACAATGAAACAGATCTTGTCTGTGGAAATGAAAAAGATGCTTGAGAATGAAAGGGCCTACTACAATATATCCCATGCAAGAGACCAATTCACTGTCCAGACCTAAAAAAAAGGTTGTATATGAAGTGTGCTGTGTTTGAAAACACTGGAGATTGAAATGCTGCAATGTAATAGGGAACTCTGGAACATGGGTCTCACTCCTGAGAAAATAGTTGTGTAGGTTAAGTGCTAGTGCCCTTGTTGTCAGTTATCTTTTTCTTCATGCCAGTGAACATTTTTTATATGTCTCTGTGATACTTGTGGTTTTAACAGTGATTTAAACTGAGTACTCTGGAAAATGTGGGTTAAAAGGGATATACATTATAGTCCCTCACTGATATATTTAGCTTTTTTTTAAGAAGTGATACGATATTTTGTATTGGGAAGTATAGGCAACAGGGACATTCGGCCTTGGTTATAAACTGTCGTCTTTTTTGGGCTAACAGGGTTAGTGCATTTTCAGGCCATGTGGATTGGACTCTCAGAGCTGTGCCTATGACAGTAGTTAAAATCCTGGGTCTGACGACAAATTTCTTCAGCAGTGTCATAACGTTTTTCAACATTATTGCGATTACTGCTGTTTTTAGAGGGACAGAATTTATTTTATAACAATTCTTGGGAATGCTTGTCAATATACAATAAATTCATGGTTAGTTAATGGTGGTGTACCACCAGTGTTATGTGTATATTATATGCTCATTAAATCATTTGAAAATTCAATAGTCTAATCAATATAACTCTATTCATAGAGTACATCCTAAACACAGAATGCATAAGATGGGTCTCACAGGCTCTGACATGCACACATACTGTACACTTAACCACCCAGACAAATACATACTTTGAAGTTCTGTCCATGGGTTCGAAAGCTCTGGCAAGGACTAATTACTGGGCTGTCCTACTCCATGAACTGCAGTCTTCCACTCCCTCCTTCTCTGCGTTTGCTCGGTGATCTCGGAGTTTTGATTTCTCCAATTAAATCAATACACTGTCCTCACTATCTTAACTATCGCAAAGAAAACTGTTCTGTAAAATTAGAAAAGCAGAGTTGAATTGAGAGCTTCACAATGGCTAAAGCTCTTGATAAATCACATCTCCAAGGAAAATAGCATAATCTCTTCAAAAAACCATTTACAATTAAATGAGACTTTGATCAAGTTGAATAAATTGTATTTTAGAGTTACTAGTCATAGAAAATGTCCTAAAAATTTGTTTCCTGAAGATATTGTTGGTTCCGATTGACGGGTCTTTTTCTCATTCTTTAATTGGAAGAGCGATAGTAGAGGCTATAGTAGATATGAATTCATGTAATTGTGTGAGGAGTTTCTATGAGCTAGATACTTTATTAACTTCTCAAATAGTGGTGGTGGATGGAGAGGATTATTAACTTCTGAAATAGTATTTTAGGCCTTGTAGTGAAAACTCCCTCACATGAGTCTTTTGACATAACGAGTTTAGTTCTTTTCTACTCTGTGCTTGTCTGAAAGAATGGTCCTATCTCCTTTTAGACAGCTTGACCCAGATGTACTTAGAAGTTCTAAGCCTAGACAAAAAGACTGGAAAACCTCGTTAATGTAGCAAATCCTATGCTAAGTGTGTTGCCAAGTCACAGTAGCCTACATTGCTGTGTTTCCAATTCATGTTCTGTGTTCTCCTGGAAAATCATAATGGTGGCTGAAAAATAAGAGTAAATTCTTTTGCAGTTATCCTAGTTTTGGTGCTTGGTCAAACCACTGCCAAAGTGATAGGCTATAAAAGCTTAGAAAAGCTTTGTGTTTCCTTTGCTTAAGAAGTCATATTGATGTTGATGTTGACTTGATGTTCAGCAGAAGTTGCCTTCATTGATGTATGAGATAAGGCAGTTGTCACACTGTATTAAATTATGCTGGGTGGAAAGTATTTAGTGTAGCAGGATCAATGCCGTATCTGCCTGTACAGTATGTAGTATGTTGCTCGTTCTGCAGTATTTCTAATGTCTGTTTAGCCTTGGGCTTTAAAAAAAGTTGTTTTTCTACATCCTGTTCCTGTTCTTTTTATATTTTGTTGTTGAATTATCTTGAGTTTATTTTAAATGACCTGATAACTGGTCCCTTACTGTATCTAGTTTTTAATTCTGTGAAGAATGAGATTCCAACATTGCTTGCAATATAAGCAAGACAATTCCAGGAAGCTGTACGTCACCATGTAATTCCAGCTGTGAACAGTCTTATAAATTGATGCTTTGTCCATAAATAAAAATAAGAACAAAGATGTGGTTTACAAATACAGTACTTACACCCAAAAGTGTATTTTCCTTTTGTAATTTTTTCCACCACAGATTTAAGAAAGTAATTAGATGATTTAGATGTTTTACCCCAGGTCTGCGTTACAATGATTAAAGTCCAGGACGTTTTTCTTTATAGTGGAACAGATTAATGTTAATCCTCATAAAAAGAAGCCTTAACTAAAAGACTTTATTAAATGTCCATGTTTGTAAGATGTGTTTTAAAATTATTTTTCTTAACCCATCATTTTTCATAACTTAGCCATTATTAACACTATTAACCATTATTAACATTATTAACCAAGATGGCCATCACTATTTATGAGGGAATGATGGATTTCGAGTGAAGCTTCCATACTTCAGAATTGTGTGTAGTATCTGCTCTTTTGTAATGAGCCTTGTAGAAAAGACATATTGTATCTGCAGGATCAGGATCGGGATTGATATACAAGAGTGAGAGAGTATTATCCCAGAGGGGGCAATTTGTTTTACAGCAGCAGTGTTGGTGTACAGATGGATAGAAAAAACATGAGGACAACAAAATACATCCATATTTGCATAGAAAATCAAGTGTTAAGTATAAGGATATGGCTACAGGTATGAATGAGAAGTTCAATCTACTGGTTTTGGAGTTGGGGAGTCGGTATTCTGATAGGAGTAATAACTATATAAGCATTGATATATTCATTATAACTGGATGGATTGATATATAGCTATATTACTTAGATATAAAATATTGCTAATCTATATCCTCTTAGTATGGGAAATATGAAAAAGCTTTAGACAGAATTTGTTTCCAAACAGGCCATTTCCCAGGAGAGTAAATTATTAGTAAATTAGCAGATGTCCATATGCTCTTAAG